CCTGGGTGGATGCCCATCAGATAAGGTGTGTGTGTGGTGTGTGGTGTGTGGTGTGTGTGTGTGTGTGTGTGTGTGTGTGTGTGTGTATAAGAGTACCAGTCCTCCCAACAAAACTCCAGCTGGATTCCCCCTGGTATGTTTTCAGAACGGTGTTTCTCAAAACGTAGCCCGTTTAAGACGGGTGGACTTCAACTCCCAGAAATCCCCAGCCAGGAATTCTGGGAGTTGAAGCCTCCACCCCACCCCCCCGGCCATCTTAAAGCTGCCACGTTTGAGAAATGTTTGCTTTTAGAGCCATCCACAAATCAAAACCACAAACCATTTGCTGCTCCAAATATGACCCTTTTAGGTAACTGCCTTATCTCATTTTCTCATTTATTTCTGCTGAAATTCCCAAAGACACGCATAAGGAGCTGAAATGGGCAGGGTGGGGAAAAAAAGGAGGATAGGGACACTTCAATCCCCAAAGGAATTGGAATTCCATGGCAAAATTCACCCAAGCAAATCCTTCCAGGTGCCACCGTCCTATTAAACCCCGTTTCCCCAGCGTGGGCACCCTTCTGAACTGGCCCAGGGTGATGGAAACTGTATTCCTAGACCTTTTGAACGCTGCTTGGCTAGGGACAATAGGACTAAATAAACACCACCACCCCAATTCAGGATTGGGGGTGGGGGGGTGGGGGGAAGAGAGCAGGAAACAGAAGGCCATTACAGCTTCCTTGCAAAATCTTACTGTATTATCTTGCAAGCCATTGCAATCTAAAGAGGTAACTTTGACAGTCCTCTTGGATAGGCAATGTTTCAACAGGAGGATCCAACCTTGGCAACTTTTAAGACTTGTGGGGATTCTGGGAGTGGAAGTCCACCAGTCTTTAAAAAGTTGCTGAAGCTGGGGCAACCGGAAGACTGGTGGACTTCCAACTCCCGGAATCCCCACAGATCTTAAAACTTGGCAAGCTTCGACCTTCCTAGTTTAATCACAATCCTTATCAGGGCCCCTCTTCTATCCCACTATTCTGACCCACTCTTCCCAGGATCCCCGGCTGCCTCCGCCAGAAGCGAAGGGTTGAAGAAATGAAGCCGTTCGATCCAAGAGAAGCAAACTTCTCCCCCTACCCCCCATGGAGTAGACTTCTTTAGTTTCACTCCCTCTTTCCCTTGAGCCAAGTTGGAGCCAATTCGTCTCAAAGAAGACCTCCTAACGGCATCTCCCATTTCAGCCCCCCCCCCCTTGTAGGATTCCACCTCACTTACTCTATCTGCATTATGGATCCATTTCACACACCCCCACCCCCCCCAAAATGGCTCGAGTAGAAAACGTCTCTCTTCTGGTTGGAGGTGTCCATCATTTTTCAACACTCTTCCCTTCCTTTTCCTGGTGTCCATCCTTCTTAGCCCCTCGCTCTTCGTCTTCCTCTTCTTCCTCCATGCAACGGGAATCCTTCCCCACCAGGGGAGATTGAGAAGGGAAGGGAGGGCCCACCAAAACGAGATAAATAGCAGCGCCAGCCCATTCCTCAAAATGTCCGTAGAATCCACCTAAGCTTCTTCTTCACACACCATCACCTCAAAACACCCAACGCGTTGCCCTGTTTGCGAGCTCAGTTGAGCCAGCGTCCCCGTGGAAAGTAATTTCTCCATGTCCGTCCATGCTTCGGCAGGGTGGTGAGATCCTATGGCAGGAGCTCAACGTTGATTGGACCGCTTGTATCCGGCTCCATGTTTATCCACCGCGTGGCCGCACGATCAACCTAGCCAAGAGTTCAAAGACACCCCGATAGCTTGGCTTCTGTCTTCTCCATGCTGGAGAAGACCGGCCGAGCAGACTTGCTTTAGCTCAACCCTTGTTGGAAACCAGACCCACCCCATGCCTTCTATACCACCACAAGTTCACCCCACTGGCAGGAGGTTGGATTTTGCCTGAGGATTTCCCTGCCAAATGCAGACTGTAAAATTCTCGGTCAGCCGGACGGCTTGGAAGCATGGTTGAGAAATCATGGCATCTGGCTTGTTTGTTTTTTTTCCCAAAAGCAGGGCCTCTGAGCATGTGCAGAAGCAGGCGAGGGCGTCCCCCGTGAGAGCTTTTGAGGCCAGGGCCAGTCACTAAAAGAAGGGCCTGGCGGACATCTCCAAGCAAGGTTCTGTGTTAAGACTGTAAACGTTCCATGTATTGTGGCAGTGGGTTCTCCTTGACGTATTTCTGGATATACCAACAAGTGAGGTGGGCTTTCAGATCTTCCTCCACCACGAAGTCCAAAGCGGCCTGACAACAAAGAGGAGGAAGAAACAGAGTTAGCGTCTGAAATAGAGGTAGTTCACAAATGACAACCACGGTCGGCATTAGAAGTTCTGTTGCAAGGAGTACATTTATGTGAAAATAATACAAGCGAAATGCCACTCACGTGACATCGCGAAATTTCCAGAACCGTAAAGTCTAGAAACTTGAAATATGGCACGTACAGTATGTTCCTCTTGGTTTCTAGATGCTCTCTAAGAAAGGATTTTTCAAAACGACCATCAGATCATTAGTATTTCTTATAGTATTATTAACACGCTCTAATGCTCTAAGGAGTTAGGCATTCTACTCCCCCTCCCCACCTGAAAATAACTCTATTCCAACTGCCACTTGGGTGTGGCCAGCGCGTGACTCATCCGGCCTTTGGGCTGGGAGTTTGGAGAGGAACCTGAGGGAGACAAGGGGATAAGATAGGAGAGGCCTCTGTGGGGCAAGCCTGAGGGAGAGAAGGGGAGAGTGAATTTTGCTCATTCACATCCAGAAAAGTCTTTCGAGGGAGGATTTACAGTCACAGACCTTCTCTGGCTTGGAGAACTGACAGGCCGATATCTGCAAAACCTGGCAAGGAGTCTCAGGTTTCTCT